TTTTATCACTTGCTAGTGATGGTGATTGTTGAGTCTTTGCCAATCACTCATATAATTTTCTTTTCCATATTTTCCTTACCTTTTTTCTTGAGTTTTATTTATTTATTTTTGTTATTATTTCACATTGTGTGTCCTCAAATAGGACCATGCACTCTTCATTGTTATTCAGGTGTGCCAGATATATTGGACCCTGGGATCTGTTAACTTAACCACTATACAAAGTGGTCTTGAAAACCAAAAGAAAGAACCAATTGTCCTCTTTATAGTTGGTAACTTCAATTCTGATGTAATTTACCTTAATGTTATGTCATTTCAACTTAAGAAACCACCTTTGCTATTTGTGAAATCTCCCATCCACTGAATGATGGGATTGGTGGATCTGAAAATTGGTGTGGGAGTGTAGGGGGGTGGGGGGATGTAGATCTTACAGCAATAGGAAATTCATAATCTATCCCATTTTCCAGTGGTTTGATACTCATGCTTGGGTCCAGAATGAACCATATCATGCTTTTTATGTTTCTTTGCAAGTAATAAAAACAGCTTTACATAAGAGAAAAATTATACCAGGCGCCAGCGTTGTATTAGTCTTTGGATTTGCCATCAAATGTGAATGCTCTAGCCTTTATATTTGGTTATATCTTCAGTGCTAACTATTGTTTCGTAATACAGATCTTTATCCAGCCTTGAGATGTTTTGTGAATACTTTTAGCTCTTTCTCACTGTTTAAGGTGGCACTGCATGACTTCCATCACAGTGTTATGTTTCCATTGGAGGGGGGAACTTTTTCTTTGTCAAATCATGGTTATTTCTTTTTATACCTGCTCTTCGGGCTTATCTCTACAGTGCTCAAGCTATTTTCTACATCAAAATTACAAACAAGGAAAACTATTTCTTATAAATGTTTTCATAGTCTACCAACATTTCTTACTCAAAATCAGAAAGTTGTGAGTATTATGTGCTTAAAGCAAATCCACTTTGTTTCTGAACTTGTTAAAGCTGAATAACAGGGAATTATAAATTACCGGTTGTTGACAAGGTGAAATATTGAGTTAATGTTGTGTCTTTGTAATGAGTTATCTGTTCCCAGTGGAATGTTTAATTGACCAGTTCTGTTAAAAGTATTACAGAGGAGATTACCAAGGACAGTAACTTTACCATTATGCCTTGGAGCTAATGATGGAGACAAAGCTGGAAAGCTGGGAGGAAAAGTTTAAAATGGTCTGAGGTCCTTTGACTTTGCCCTCTAACATTTTCAATCAGATGTTTGGAGGCAGATGAAGAAAGCATGTTTATCAAGTTGGCAGATAACCCAAATCTAGGTAGAATGACCAATACCCAAATGACAAAAGTCAGGATTCCAAAAGCTCTCAACAGACCAGAGTGATGCACTGAATGCAATGAAGTGAAATTTAGTAAGGATAAATGTGCAGTTCTGTATTGGAATTCAGAAAGCCACTTACCTTATTACAAGTAAGGAGAAATGGCTCCATGGTGTAAAAAAAGACATATGAGATTTTAGGTTTGAAGAAGGTAAGCTCAACCAACACCGCCCAGATTATTGAAAGGACACCAGGTCAAGAAACACAGCCAGTTGCGTTCTGGTTACAGGACTGGGAGTCATTCTTTTAGAAGAGTGCTGGTATATGTGTAAGTGTTCAGAGAACACCTGCTGACATGGAGAATGTCTGAAAACCTTCTAGTAGCAGTGTAGGGTAAGTGAAAAATTATCAGGCTTTTCCACCCTTCTGACATTAGCATTAATGATGGATCCCTGAGGTCTGACATGCATGCCTAATGGCGGGCACCTGGAGTAGGGTGTGGGCTGCATAGGTGGGTGCACCTGGGCTGAGAGACTGGGTTTATAAGGGTGGCGTTACAGGGATGCCAGCAAAAGAGCAGAGAAAAGAACGAGAGCAGCAGAATGAGAGCAGAACCAGCAGAGCAGCAAAGGAGAAGCAGAGACCATGAGAGAACACCAGAGACCCTAGAAAGAGTGAAGATTCCCGGTCCCTGGGCCCCTGCCTGCCTGTGGTGTAAAAAATTCAATAAAAGGGCCTCCCCGGTGGCGCAGCGGTTGAGCGCTGGGTTGCGAAGATGCCCACAGCCTCTGCAGCGCCGGTTCAATCCCCGGCTGCACCCCGGCCACCAGAGGAGGGTCCCACATGGCGCGCAGACTTCTCCTGCCGCCCGCTGCTCCCCTCAGCAGTGTACTTCAGTCCTTCGGCCTGCTCTGCTCCCCGCTCTGGCTCTGGTGAATTCTCTCACCCTCCCGCGCTTCTGACTGTACCCAGTGCTTGTATAAATATATAACTAAATAAACAAACAAACAAAAAAACTAAAAGTTAATGATTGGCTCAGGTGTGTTTGCATCTTAAAAAAAAAAAAAAAGTTCAATAAAAGCCTGATAAGCCACTGGGGGCTCCAGAACTCTCCCTTACCCATCTGACCAGATCATAGGGAACCTGCACTGTGCCTTGCTGGCACTACAGGCGGGAACTGAGGGCAGCAAAGCATATATTGCCTGGAGAAGTGAAGACTTGGAACATAACAGGCCTTTTCAAATAATCATCTTCCCTCCATAGAGCTGAGGTTGTTTTTTTTTTTTACTATTTTTTTTCCAGTGTTTAGAACTAAGATAAATGAGTATACAATTCAAGAATTAGAGCATGGGCCTTTTCAAGGGGAATTTTCTACATGGGAGGGTTGCTTTACTAACATGTGGGGACCTCATCTATTTAGAAACTGTCTGTCTAGAAGGTTGTAGAATTGAGTTTTAGCATTTGGATGGAAGTTGACCAGCTGGCCTCTAACATCTGTTTACCTCTGAGGTTGTGTGCTATTTTACTTATTTTCTTGCCACCTGCACACACACTGGAGACAGTGTAATAATAATCTTATTTTTGTATTCTTTCTTTTTTTAAAAAAGATTTATTTATTTATTTATGCATGCATGCATGCATACAAGAGCCGGGGTACAGTCCAGAGATGCAGGGGAGTGACAGGATTTACCAGAGACAGAGTGGGGAACTGTAGGGCCAGAAACAAACATGGTGCAGGTTTTCTATTATCCAGCAGACTGGGTAAAGGAGGAGTCAGAGTCCTCAGTGGCTTTTTGCAGGTCTTTTATTGGGATTTACCCGGTGCACAGCAGGCAATGGTGCCGGGGGGGGGGGGTGCGGGAGGCTGGCAGTCCTCCTAGCCCCCAGCAAGTCTTCACTCTATCTGGGCTCTCCGGTGTTCTCTGCTTCTCTCTCGGCTTCTGCTACTTCTTTCTCGGTTTCTCCTGGCGTCCCCTGACGCCGCCCTTAAAAGCCCAGTCTCAGCCCAGGTGAATCCCATCTACCTATGCCCACACCCTATTCCAGGTGCCCGCCATCTGGCATGCATTCAGGACCACAAGGATCCATCATCTATGCCTGATGGCGGGAGGGCAGAAAAGCCTGACATTTTTCCTTACCCTACAGGAATAGAACAGGCAGATTGACTGAAATACACTGCTGAGGGGAGCACTGCTGAGGCACAGTGGACCTCTTCTCTCAAGTCAGGAGAGGTCCGCTGTGCCTTGTGGGTTGCTCCCTGGTTGGCCAGGAATTGAACTCATGCAGCAGAGGCTGCAGATTGCTTTATAGGTTGCTTCTTTACCCTTGTGCCACCAGGGAGGCCCATTTTTGTATTCTCTTGACCAGAATCCTTAATTGTTATCATTGGAAAGTCATTATAATGGATGGTAGAATTTTCATCATAATTACGATGATCAACATAATTGTAGCGGCAGGAATGCTGCAGGGCGAGATCTCTATGAAACCTGAGCAGACTGGTGAAGGAGGAGTCCTGGAGCTTTCAGTGGGTTTTTGGGCTTTTATTGGAATTTTACTGGGTACACAGCAGGCAAGAGTTCTGGGAGGCCAGGAGGCTGGCAGGCCTCCCAGCCCCCAGCAAGTCTTCACTCTTTCTGTGCTCTACTGGTGTCCCCATGATGCCACCCTTATAAGCCCAGTCTCTCAGCACAGGTGTATCCACTTACGCTTACCCACACTCTACTCCAGGTGCCTGCCATCAGGCATGCATTCAGGCCCGCTCCATCATCAATCCTAATAGTGGGAGAACAGAAAAGCCTGATACTTTTTCACTTACCCTGTAATAATCATTCACTTTTGCAATGTAAAACTTTGGGGAAAAGACTTAATAATGCAGTGATTCAAAGCAACAGGAAACAGTTAAAGAATGGAAAGGTTGGGCCAAAAATTCTCAGTATGCTCCCAGATGCTGAAACAATGGAATTGCTTTATATATGCTGCATTTTAAAAAATTATTTGATTATTTAATTACATGTCTTCTATAGTGCCAGAGTTAAGCAGATGTTTACCACATGTTTTGTTGTGAAGTTATTCTTGCCTTTACATGTTACAGAGACTATAAAACATTTTATGTAATCTGTTTTAATTTTGAGAACTTATATTGCCAGTATATTAAAGTGAAACCTGTTTCTGTGTTAGACTTACCATAATCCTTAGGAAAATATTTGCAAGCTATGTCCGTGGCCTCTGTTGCATTTTGAACTCTGCTATTGTGCCAGAGTTGTGGTGAAACCATCTATATTTTAATTTTTGGGAAAAATTGTTTTTCCTATTAAAACTCATCAAATGATTAAGGCATTTATATCAAATTTTTTAACACAATATCAGTTATTCCAAATTCCTATAATTCTGGGATATGTGAGTTAAATATTTGCTTAGGTCTTAACTTTCAATTGAATTATGCAAATATTAAGATCCTTTCAGGAAACAACACAGTATAGCAATATGGTTAAGGCATGTGAATAGTTAGATTGTGCTGAACATGGGCATAATACAGTCATAATCCACAGTTCCTGAAAACAACAAAAAAGTCAAATTCGATTGAATTTTGCATCAAATAGGTGTACGGTACCTGCAATCATAATAGCTTATTCCAGTTGTCTGGTCGTTATTTATGTTATCTTTCAATCTTTTACATTTTAGGTGGTTGCCTTTTTGATGAGCCTTATAGCACCTGTGGGTATAGCCAAGCTGAAGATGATGATTTCAACTGGGAGCAGGTGAACACCTTGACCAAGCCGACTTCTGACCCATGGATGCCATCAGGTTTGCTTTTAGTTTTAAGTTTTCTTTTGAAAATCAAAGGTGCAGAAAAGTCTTAATCATTGTAAGTGTTCATTGAAGGACCTTACTTTTATGTACCTTCCTTTAAAATCTAATCAAATGTTACTTCCTTTATTTTTGGGTACACCTGACCTAAATGAATGGGTGTTAGCCAATTGATTCTTTCCCAAGAAGCAGATATGGCAAACAGGTGCACGTCTCTTTTGGCAAATGTGACTAGAGGATGGAGCTCCAGCTGGAGAATTCACATGACAAAATGTAGGCTAAATAAAGTGAATCAGGCTTTTTATGCCCTCCCACTGGTACAGTGGATGCCAGGGGCAGAGGGACATTGGGGAGAGGGGAATGGATGCTGATGATTATCAACATGTGGGCCTAGAGTGTAGGGACATGTGCATGTGTAAATGCACACACCTGGGCCTAGAAGGGAGGGGATAAAAGGGCATCATCACTGTGAAGCGAGGCTACTGCCAGATGGTGCGAGACTGAGAGAGCAAATTCATGCAAGCACAGAGATAAGCGGGGGCTGGGAGGCCACTATTTACCTGGTTCTCTGGATTCAACAGTAAAGGCCTTTAAGAATCTATTGAGGGTTCCAAGGTTCCTTTAACTATCTGCCCAAATTCATAGTGAACCTGCGTGACCTGGGATGGGTGCACAGCAGAGTCTCCATCACAACTAGGAGACCTTGGGAAGCAATTTAAACTTTGTCAAGTTTGGGGCTCACTAGCTATCTCTGGAGATCTGAAAGGATGCCAGTGATCTTGGAAGTATTGTGAAGATAAAATGATCCACATATGGCATAGTTTTCCAAGGTAGAGCTGCTTTGTAGATTTCATAATGAGTCAAAGATATTTGGTCCACTGAACAACAGGAAGAATTTTTTTTCTTTTTTAGATTTTTATTTATTTATTTATACAAGCACTGGGTACAGTCAGAAGTGCGGGAGGGTGAGAAAATTCACCAGAGCCAGAGCAGGGAGCAGAGCAGGCAGACTGACGAGGTACACTGCTGACGGGAGCAGCAGGTGTGGCAGGAGAGGTCTGCGCGCCATGTGGGACCTTGCCCTGTGGCTGGGGATTGAACCTGTGCTGCAGAGGCTGTGGGCAGCTTCGCAACCCAGTGCTCAACCGCTGTGCCACCAGGCAGGCCCAGGAAGAATTCTTTGTGGAAGTAAGAATGAGAAGATGGGGCCTCCCTGGTGGTACAGCGGTTTGAGCACAGCACTGTGAAGCGGTCTGCAGCCTATGCGGCACCAGTTAGATTTCCGGCCGGCCATGGAGATTCCCACATGGCCCAGCAGATTCCCACATGGCCCAGCAGATCCCCACATGGCCCGGCAGACCTCTGCTGTCTCACCCGCTGCTCCCCTCAGCAGTGCTTTCAGACTGTCTGTTCTGCTCCCCACTCTGTCTCTGGTGAATTCTCTCACCCTCCCGCACCTCTGGCCTGTACTTCAGTTCTTGTATAAATAAATCTTAAAGAATGAAAAGATGGTGACTAGTGAATTCTAATCAGATTGGAACTTGATCATTTTAGGAAACCCTTTTTAGGCTGTGGTGATGGATAGCATCTTAAAATTTTAGATTTGCACATTTGAAACCGGGACCCTGCAGCTCATGGGCTACAGGGCAAGAATGAATTTCTCACCGCTGCCTAAGCAGCAGGAGCCCTTGAAAAAGCAGTTTCTACCAACAATAGGAATTGCTGGTAGTCCTTCCCCCATCACTTGGTCTCAGAAGCTGCTTGCGGTTAGTGCAGGTGTGGTGAGTAGTGGGCATTTTACCACTCACCACCAGTCGCCCCACGGGCTCAGGCTGCAGGCAGAGTATGGCAGTGGTGGCACACAGCAGTGGTTTCCCTCCCATGCTTCCCCAGGGCATACTGTCCATGGTTTAGGCATCAGTGAGGAGAATAAGGCCCATTGGGCCAGCTCCAGCACTGTGGCCCCCTCAGCTGCAGGCAGTAGACTGGTGTCTGGATCATAGATAGGTCTGATCAGGTGCGACCTATAAGCTGGTTGTTAAGTGGTTCAGTCAGCCTTAGGCTTGAAAATAGTCCAGTCAGACTTGTGGGGTGAGGTTGGGAGGGTCACTGAAAGAGGGTATAAGGCATAGTAGACGCCAGCTTGGAACTTAGACTATTTCTGGAGACACTCTGTTCCTAACCTCCAAAGAAGAAAGAAGCATCTAGCAGCTAACCCCCAAAGGAAGAGAAGTTAAAAAGCTTCTCAGAATAGCTGAAGAGCTTTGCAAAGGCCACTGTTGCCCTCCGACCCTGCCTCTCACATCGCCAGAAAGGAGCACGCACAGCCCCAGCCTGGTGTTTCAAAGAGCCTTTTGTTGTTAGTGTGGCCCAACAACTCACAAAGAACTGTTAACATGATGTATAGGATTGTGTCCAACACCTCCCACTGTTGCCACCTCCATTGCTGTCTGGTCCAGTGCCTGGTGCTGTCCATCCTAACCTTCAGACTGTGGATTAGGAATTTTCTCTGTCTTTTCTATAAACTTACTACCTACTGAAAGGGATTATGATTTTCTTTGTTTAGTACCAAAACCTGTTTGGGGTTATTGTGATTCTAATAAGCAAGTAATCCATCAATATGAATTTAAAATTTAAGGTAGTGAGAAACTATATTAGAAAAATATTTACTTTAAAAGTGTAATTTTATTTTTCTATCTCTCTTGAAATTGACAATCCAATGTATAGGGTTTGTTTATCTGTATTTTCATATGGAGGTTATTTTTAGCCACATTTAAAATTTTTAAATATAGTATGGAGCTTTATACAAGCTTACTTGATAGCGACTTGTAGGCTGTGACCTTAGCTCTGGAAATATATAATTAGGGCAAATCAGTACTAAATACCTTTAAATTGTTGTATTTGAAGCCAATATCTATAGTAGATTATAGTTTTGCAGCTCGGTGTGAACCATACAGTTTTCTTGATGGTGAAACTATGATAATCATTATTGGTAAAGCGTGTGGTTCATTTGATATCAACTGAACTACATTAGTGGTAAGGAATTTTCATATACTTTATCATAAGGATTACTACTTTGAGCCCAAGAACCTGGTATATTATCATTGTTTCTTTGTCACTGTGCATACTACAATACATTGTATAATTATCAGAGTAGATTAAGAAGTATGTTATGGGCCTCTCTGGTGGCACAGGTGATTGAGCGCAGCACTGTGAAGCTGTCTGCAGCCTCTGCAGTGCGGGTTCGATCCCAGCCAGCTGGTGAGGCAGACCTCTCCTGCCACCCACTGCTCCCCTCAGCAGTGTATTTGGTCAGTCTGCCTGTTCTGTTTCCCGCTCTGTCTCTGGTGAATCCTCTCAACCTCCCACACATCTGGCCTGTACCCCAGTTCTTGTATAAAAATAAATAAATCTTAAAAATAAGAAGTATCTTATGATGTAAAAACACCTATACAGCTTGGCAATGACTGATATTTTTATGTTTTATTAAGGTATCAAGTTTGTAATACAGTGATCCAATTCTATAAAATGAATATTTAGCAAATCTCTATCTTACATACAAGAAAATGTGACCCAATTTTATTAAAAAAACAATAAATCTACCCATAATGTTAAAAATGTAAAGATAGCTTTTAACCATAGACATTTGATAGTCATAAAATTGACATTATCCCCCAGAGTTGCCTTAAGATATCATACTTTTAAAAATGGTGTACTTAAGTGAATTTGGGTCCTCATGCTGGGCAAATACAATTCTCTGAACACTTTTCCAGGTAGTATAGCATTCTGGCAGAGGTAGTTTTTTTAGTTTTCTGTGTCTCAGTTTAACATTTTGTAAAATAGGGCATGATGGTTATGCTGATCATGGAGATACCCTAGGTGTTTTTTTGGTGCCCATGTGAAAGGCAGAGAGATAGAAGTCCTGGGCTTGAGGAATAACATGCACTTTAGTGTGATGACCCCTAAAGTAGAAAAAGTGCTTGCAAATATTTACATAGTCTATTTTACATTTGAGAAAGATGATAGTTTGACAGACAAAGGAATTACATGTTTTTCTTTGGGTGCATTCATCAGGAGTATTTCTCTCATGCTAGGTAAGACTTGTCTAGTCATTTATACATCAGGGTTTACTTAGGGCTAAGTGAGTAATGACAAGAAGACTATGGAATTGACAAGATATTTTCTCCCCTTAAATTTCAATGTGGATCTAGTGAGTAATATTTTTGGCACAGAATAGTCAGACAGTTGTCTAATTATCTCATTCATTCTTTGAATCTGTCAGCATTCTACAAATATTTATTAAATGTCTGCTGTGTTGCAGATGCATTGTTATAGATGCTTGGGATTCATCTTTGAGTGAGTCAAATAAAGACACCCTCCCTGGTGGACTTTACATGCTCAATTTAGTAGAATTGTTCTTGGATTACTAAAAGATTATATCCTATGAGACCCTGTTTACTCTTGTTAATGACTTTTTTGGAGTGAATATTTAAAAGGTAATACAAAATTCACTTTTTCAGATGCAGCACACTATAGCATCAAATTTACATTTCCTATCTGGTTTGTCTCTTAAAAAATTAAAATGAGCAAAAAAATTTCTATATTTCATGCAAGTGGCAGTGCAGTGATTTCTGATCATTTTTTAGAACACAAAGTCATATGTAAATAACACTTAGCAATAAATAAAACTTGTTTTTTGCTGTGTGTTATTTTATCTTCATGATGAGCCTGGGGGATTGAGTTGCATTATTCTCATTTTATACCTTAGGAGACAGAGTTCAGAGAAGTTAAATCTTGTCCCAGGCTTATTATAGAAAGAGAAACAACTTCCAGTTTTGCTCTGAGTTCTGTGGAGTGATCTTCTCACTCTTCTCAGAGTGATCTGAACACATGCATCTCGAGAAGGGGATGATAGTTTTTATCCCAGTGGCACCTACTGTGATTGTCTCGAAATGTACATGACAGCTATCCACTGTGAGGCCTGTAGGCCCCACCCT